CCAGCACCTGTAGATGATACTGACAAAGAGACAAAGAAGTGTTGATGGTGTACAGATCAGTAGAGTCAGTGAGGTTTCTGGGTGTTATTATTGACAAGAAACTGACGAGGAGACCTCATGTTAATTACTTAAGAATAAAACTAGTTAAATCTGTTGCATTGCTTAACAAAGTAAGGGCCTTGTTTAATGATAAATCTCTGTATTTGTTATATAACACATTAATTGTTGCACACTCTGTCTGTTGTGTTGAGGTGTGGGGTAAAGCATGTAAGACTATTACACATCCTGTTTTTATTTTGAAAAAAAGAGCTGTTATCACTTTAAAACATTATCATTATCCATCTAATATATTATTTTGTAAACTGAAATTATTGAAATTCTATGATCTGGTTGATTATAACATTCTGTTGTGTATAAAGCTCACCTGAACACATAACCTGTAAACATTCAGACAAACTTTGTAAAAAGACAGAGCTGTTATAACCTTACAGAGCTGTTATAACCTTACAGAGCTGTTATAACCTTACAGAGCTGTTATAACCTTACAGAGCTGTTATAACCTTACAGAGCTGTTATAACCTTACAGACACAGAGATGTTCATGAAACCTAAATTTAAAACATGTTTAAAGAACGCTGCAGCTCAATCCAAGGAGTCAGATTGTGGAATAATCTGGAAGATGATGTGAAAAGTGCCAAATCACTGTATATTTTTAAAAGAATGATAAGTTTGAAAAAAAATATTTCCAAAGCCCTAATGAAGGTTTCATCTCAGAGAAAAATAGAAATAATTTCTTTTAGAATTTGTTCTAATGACTATTGATGGATCACAAACGGCTTTAAAACTAGTTTATCAACTGGAAACCATTTTAAATGAGAAACACATCTTTAAAACTAGTTTATCAACTGGAAACCATTTTAAATGAGAAACACATCCTTAAAACAGGAAAAACAGGAAGTTCCTTCAGACATTCATGAAATTTCAAACAGACCCTCTGGAGGTTTCACACCTGTCATCATGTGACCCCAGCCCTCACCTCAGGTGGGTCAGTAACTGACACGCCTTCAGACAGGACTGAGCTATCAGACAGCCAACAGAACCACCATGACCTGGATTCACCAGGGTCTGTCTGGTTCTGAGGAGGACAGCTGGATCTTCCAGAGTCCTAAAATCTGTCTGCTCTGCAGGACAGCCACCATCCGGGTCTCCAGGAAGAAGGGAAGCAGTGGAAGTCCAGTTCCTCAGAGTGCCGTGGTCCGAGCCAGCTGGCTGGATGTCTGGAAGGGTTTCAGGTACTAAACACCAGAACCAGGTCTGTGAACCAGGTCTGTGAACCAGGTCTGTGCACCAGGCCTGTGAACCAGGTCTGTGCACCAGGTCTGTGAACCAGGTCTGTGAACCAGGTCTGTGAACCAGGTCTGTGCACCAGGTCTGTGCACCAGGTCTGTGAACCAGGTCTGTGCACCAGGTCTGTGAACCAGGCCTGTGAACCAGGTCTGTGCACCAGGTCTGTGAACCAGGTCTGTAAACCAGGTCTGTGAACCAGGTCTGTGAACCAGGTCTGGTGGTCTGTGAACCAGGTCTGTGCACCAGGTCTGTGCACCAGGTCTGTGCACCAGGTCTGTGAACCAGGCCTGTGAACCAGGTCTGTGAACCAGGTCTGTGCACCAGGTCTGTGAACCAGGCCTGTGAACCAGGTCTGAAAACCAGGTCTGTGAACCAGGTCTGTGAACCAGGTCTGTGCACCAGGCCTGTGCACCAGGTCTGTGAACCAGGTCTGTGAACCAGGCCTGTGAACCAGGTCTGTGAACCAGGTCTGTGCACCAGGTCTGTGAACCAGGTCTGTGCACCAGGTCTGTGCACCAGGCCTGTGAACCAGGTCTGTGAACCAGGTCTGTGAACCAGGTCTGTGAACCAGGTCTGTGCACCAGGCCTGTGAACCAGGTCTGTGCACCAGGTCTGTGAACCAGGTCTGTGCACCAGGCCTGTGAACCAGGTCTGTGCACCAGGTCTGTGCACCAGGCCTGTGAACCAGGTCTGTGCACCAGGTCTGTGAACCAGGTCTGTGCACCAGGTCTGTGAACCAGGTCTGTGCACCAGGCCTGTGAACCAGGTCTGTGCACCAGGCCTGTGAACCAGGTCTGTGCACCAGGTCTGTGAACCAGGTCTGTGAACCAGGCCTGTGCACCAGGTCTGTGCACCAGGTCTGTGAACCAGGTCTGTGCACCAGGTCTGTGAACCAGGTCTGTGGACCAGGCCTGTGAACCAGGTCTGTGCACCAGGTCTGTGAACCAGGTCTGTGCACCAGGCCTGTGCACCAGGTCTGTGAACCAGGTCTGTGCACCAGGTCTGTGCACCAGGTCTGTGCACCAGGTCTGTGAACCAGGTCTGTGAACCAGGTCTGTGGACCAGGTCTGTGAACCAGGTCTGTGAACCAGGTCTGTGCAGACTCAGACTCTGAGGGGCCACACATGAAGCATTTATGGAGGAATGTTCTGCTGGCTGTGCAGAGGACAGATCATGGTGTATTTGTCCTCTCTGACAGATACAACGTTCTGTGGGCCACACTGGACGGTCAGCTGATGTCTCTGCGTAAAAAGCGCTCGGTAAGTGGGCGTGTCTTACCTGTGTGTTGTGTACACCTGAGTGGGCTGAGCAATGACTGTGTTTGTTTCTCTGGTAGGACCGGTTCAGCGAGGTCTTGTTCCATGTCTCCAGTATTACCAACGTGAAGCCTCAGGACAAATGTCACTTCTCTGTGTACTTCAAAAGGAAACATTATGACTTCATGGCTCACAATAACGGTAAAATCAGACACTTAACTTTTCAGTCTTTATGTTCACCTTATAAATAAGTATTAGATTCACTGCACTTCTACCYAAATGAAGTCCAGTTCTTTTCTAATCCATCAATAACTTTTGAATATGTTGGACCACCTAGCTGAGCGCAACGTGTAGCTAAAGGAAGCCATGTTGTGTGGTGAAAGTAAGCATTGYTCCAAGTCACAGTGACATCATCCTCAGATGAGATGAACCTCTACATTCAGAGGCTCTTCTCTCCAGATCACATCTCCTGACTCGTGTTTCTGTTTACACACAACAACAGAGAAACCAGAACGAGAATGTATCAAGATAAACCAGTGCACAGTCAAWAATACTGGAGAAAGGCACAAACATTAATGCTTTGCAGTTGGGATGTGATTCAGTCACAGAGAATTTGTTGCAAAAAATGGTGAAATGAAGACACACAACTTTGTTTTCATGTGGAGCATACAAATATTCACACTTTAGTTCAGTTCAGTTTATTTCTACAGCTCCAAGTCCCAACATGCGTTGTCTCAGGACACTGTAAATAAAAAGAACAATGTAAAGAAG